AGAAAAGTTGTCGGGCAATTGTTGGAGATTCCAAAAATAATATTATATACAGAGTGTTCCATTTGAAAAATCAAAGTTGCTACTGCTTTCTAATAGAAGCGGCAACACCGCATTGTCGAAAATATTTTAGTTGGCTAGAGAATGTCCGAATATGCCCTCCATTAAATTTTCAAAGTGATCCGTTGTCTGGTTCACCAGAAACGTATAATGTGCCATCCACCGTGAATCAGCCTGTATATATATGTATAGATAGGTAAGTACATACCTCAATGTCAAAAACAATTTTTCAGAGGCACTTAAAAGTCTATTTGCATTAAGTTTTTTCTCCAATTCTCGTTGAATATCCATAAGAATTAATCGAAGGTTTCATTGCTCATTCTGGTATACTCAAAAAATTTTTCTGGATATAATCTGAGATAAATTCGATAAAGACATTTCGCTGTCGGACTACTGGTCGCGGCGGCGAACGTGACTGCCCGTGGCCTGCAAACACTGCAAACAGTGTCGCGCGAATGGTCGCCTCGCCTCCCACTTCGACGTTCGCAGCGCCGATCCCCGTAAGGTGGCGAAATATAATGCGTCATTAGCGATACATCACCCTGTGTGGCATTAGTGTGAATAGAATCAGAATGTGAATCAGAAACTAAAAAAAATATTTCATGTAGAACGGTTTTTTTACTTTTTGTAATTTTTGTCAATATACTATAAACTCGCTCACTTTGTGGTATTTTATTGCTTCAGTGTTTTTAGATATGACTCGACAAAACTTAGGACCTTTTATTTCCTTTTGATTAATGTTAGCTGATAGATAATATGTGACTGATTGAATGAATATCACTTCGAACTACAAATACAAACAAAGCCATGATCAGGACTACGCCAGGTTGAAAAAAACGCAATGTAGCAGTTTTTATGAATATACATTCATGTGTCATATTTTTTGCAAATGTTTTTCTACTAGATTGATATGTTTAGACATTTTTTAGAATATCATTAGAAAGTCGATATTTTGCAATATTATGGTTTCAAAAATCAATAAGTTTTATAAATTATGAGTTTTATCTCGTAGAAGTATCAGAAAAGACGATTGTGTCGAATTGCTATATCATTATTTGTACTTTATTTTGCAGGTTGCTGAATTTTTAGGGATACGTTTGAACCCAAAAACATCAAATTTCTTGAACACAATTAAGTTACATTACGGAATATGTATTCCTCATTCCTGTTCAATTGGCAATCTCCAAAATATATGGGACTACATTGAACATTCATTCAGAGTACCTGCTCATGTTGACTTTCAAGATATGATGTGTAGAATGAAGGGAAAATATGTCGAACCATATTTCATTGATAAATATATCATGTGAGTATTTTATGGTATCTTTCTAGTTTTTGAACAAATAGACGATACAAATCTCATCGATCTATGGATATTTTCCACTAGTACCTCTTCAAGGAGGTACATAGAAATTGAAAACACTGAAAAATTTTGAAGTAGATGATTTTTGGCTTGTATATATATGATTCAGCAAAAATCAATCAGAAATGATTTCATTTGATGGAATTGATTCTACTCTGGAAGTATCATCAAATACTGATAATATGAATATGACGACCGTGCTCCCAAATTTGTATAGTGACACAAAAATTATTAAGCTCAAAAAGCTGTCAGTGTTAAGCCTTTCGTCAAAGTTCCACCAAACCATTCTAACAGTACCAGCAGATAATTCAGCAGCAACACTGGAGATGTCGACAAAATAAAAAAAAGTACCGTGTTTCGAAGATAGAAAAGAGAGTTCCAAAACCCAAGAGAAGACAAAGATCTCCGACACTAGGGTAGTGAAAAAAGCAGTTGGGCTCATACCTAGTGGTCAGCTTAATATAAAGCAGATACGTTTCTCGAGACCAAGCACCTTTGAAAAGGGGAATATCACGGTTCCAGCCTTGACAATAAACTGGAATTATTCTGACTATCGAATTTTGAGAATGAATTGGAAGCAACGATGAACAATTTCAGAGATTACGAACAGAGGTGTAGAAAGTTTCTGAAATATCCATCTGATTGTTGTAGCAACCAAAATATTATTAAATTGATGGATGTAGCCGTTACTACGTGGTAGAAAATGAAACTTTCCATGTTATTTACCATTTTTATTTGTAACTAACGTTACTGCAGTTTCGTCCTATACGGACATTTTCAAACTTATACAATAAACTAACAATGGTTCATTACATTAGCCCTTATATACCATCCCTGTAGGTACTAACAGAGGTACTTGGCTTGATTGAGTACCTGAATTTACAGTTTACAATGCGGATGTGTCAATTTAATAACAATTTGAAAATGTCGAATCATTTTTTCCTAGTCTGAAAGACCTTTCATGTTCAGCATACCGTTTTTGGCCGTTTATAAGCTTAAATGTCCGGAGTGTAATAGTGTTTATGTGGGACAATGTGGCCAAAATTTCCAAAAACGGTATGCTGAACATGAAAGGTCCTTCAGACTAGGAAAAAATGATTCGACGTTTTCACACCATTCCTTGGCATGCAACCACAAGTTTCCGAATCTGAACGATACGGAAATTTTGCACTATGCAAGGAAGGGTTACAAACTCTATTATTTAGAATCCTTGGAAATTCACAAGCATAAACATTGCAGGTGCAATCTGTTAAATGATCAAATCGATTTAGTTTACTCACCGGTTTTTAAATTGGCACATCCGCATTGTAAACTGTAAATTCAGGTACTCAATTAAGCCAAGTACCTCTATTAGTACCTACAGGAGTATTAGTACCTACCTCTATTAGTACCTACAGCCCTTATAGGTACTATTAGTACCTATAAGGGCTGATGTAATGAACCATTGTTAGTTTATTGTATATGTTTGAAAATGTCCGTAGAGGATGAAACTGCAGTAACGTTAGTTACAAATAAAAGTGGTAAAAAACATAGAAAGTTTAATTTTTTTTACTTCATTGAGATTATTATTCTTAGTGAAGTAATTCTAAAAGTTCAATCTGGTGTTATTGATGTATAGGGTAAAAATGTATAAAAGTACGCTTTGTATAAGAGTACGCGTCTTTTTTTTTTGTTTTGTTTCTCCATTTATTGAACTGTCGAATACTGAATTGCATTCTAAATTAATTGTAATGTATTTACATTCAGGAATTTGTCTTACCGAACTTGTCTTCTTTTCCGACTATGGGCGTTACAAATATTTGTCTTAGTATTGTAATGATTTTTTTAGGCTGGTACTATGTAATACTGAATGCTGTTTTTACATCGGAAGGTATGCTGAAAAATGTTCGTTTATGAAAAAATGCAATGAGTGCTAAAATTCGTTCGTGTATAAGATATTACATAACTGCGTGCTTTCAAACAAATAACTATTTTATTTTCATTTATTTTATTAATAGATATTATAATTGAGATGAGACAAGCGAAAAACTTATTAATAACTAATATTTACGAAAGTAAACTTGAGAGAAATAAAACAGAAGAAAGAAAAAGGATGTAGAGAAAGATATAGTGAAAGACATGAAAGTAAATAGGTTGACTTCAAGAAATTATAAGAGCATTTCGATAGCGATATTCCGCAAAATATAGATAGCAACTCAGTTCAGTGAGTGCGAGAATAAAATGAGTGTTTTAAGGAATCGAAAAAATCACAAATAGCAGCCTTCAGATTTGCTAAAGCTGATAATCTTTTTGAACGCTTTGAAGAATGATCAAATGGTCGGTGAATCGTGGGTGAAGGGATTTTGTCAGCGAAATGAGATATATTTCTGACAGCAAGAAGAATGTTCTATGACAAGAATAATGTACTTGTGATGCACTGTTTAGAACCTTTGGTGTATTAATGAATATTACTGGATTTTTTTCCCAACACCAAACCGTTATTTTAACACCTCGACACGTGTCACGGTTTGGTGTTGAAAAAACTCCAAAAATTATGTGTTTCGATAAGATTCAGGTGGCCAGATTTTACGATAATCACAGGAGTCTTCACGAACGTGGCAATACCTTTTAAGTTCAATATATAATATAAATGAATCGGGTCTATCAACGATACCTAATAAGTTGCCAAAGGTACTAGCGAGCGAGGGTTTTTAGTTTGTATGACAAGTGGCTAGTGCAAATCGTGACAACTTGCAACGGCTGTGTGTTACATTAGTAACACACTTCATTACATTCCGACTGCACTCATATTTTTCAGAAAAAGAATGGATGAGCCATTTCTTAATGTACCCCTAGAAACCATGAAGTAGATTTCCGAATCTGAATGTCAGTATTCTATTGATTTTAGACAACCATAGTCCACATCATGATCTGCAAGTTGTTCAGTATTGACGACAAAATGATATCGATTTCTTGTCTCTACCTCCTACCACTTCAGCCTTCAGAGAATATGAAAAATGGATGATAAGTAATCCAGGCGAAGTAATTGGGCAAATGCAATTTTCTGAGTTATTTAGCACCGATTATAGCTGTTCAAAGTATTCAAATGGCCAAAAACTCATTGAAGCATAATGCATATCCCTTCGATCCTGATCAGTTTCAAGATCTGGATTTCGCAGCTTTGTTACCGGGTTTATAGCTGGGTCATTAGTGAAATAATACGTCATTAACTGTCTATCAACCCTTGGTAACTCTCTCGCTGTGTTTGTATTATTTAAATAAAATTTGCTAGCTGCTGTCACCAGATGCGGATTATCCACATCAAATTTTGAATTTGGCAATTCCAAAAGAAGCTTGAATTTGCCCTCTTGCACGAAAAGGAGGTCTTTGGTTGCAGTAAGAAAGATCTTCAGAATTCGCAGTCACTTCTTTCTAAGATAGATAATTTTCCTTTTTTTAAGTAGAATATCTAGGTACCTATAAATTATTTTAACTTGATATAGGCGCTGTTGCCAATATATGAATTAGAAACAAACCTCTTCAAGAATCAAAACCCAACATTTGAAACATCAATTTGAATACGTTTTGAAGTGAATTTGGAAAACTCATGAATTAAACTCAACTTTATTTTCTTCAAACTTGCATTTGCTGTAATAACCCAAATTGAGGAACATTCCCCATTGTTAGGTCTACTCTGTATATTGATTTTTAAATCTAATTCCTTTCCCAAATTCATAAAATGGCTGATACACATGTACATTCAATTCACTGCTGCTTTTTCCTAGCTCGTCCTTGAAGATTATAAAAAAAAATAAATATCGTATCAAAAACTTCACCTCAAATTACAACTCGCTCATACACGGTTTCGATTTAATTTTCGCACTACACTGCTCGATTTCCGCTCGAACCTTACCCACTTCTTTATTCATACGTCAGAAAAAAATACTATTCAAAATCGCGTCAACCGCCTGTTTTCAAATATTTAAATTTTTTGAAGATTCAAACCAGAAAAACTATCTCCCAAAACGAATTACCGCTCTTGACCGACCGTCAAGAGAACCCTTTCAGCTCTCAAGTTCGTGAATCCTGATGCTGAAGTCCAGGTAGCCTTACTTCCAGATAATTTTCCGCACGACTCTGAGACCGCTACCTCAGGCAAAGACTTTTCGTAAACTGGTTCAACGGTAAACCCATGTTTTGCTTGACTTGCAATCTACAGATTTCAAGGTTTGGACCGAAATGTTTGTCTGTCCGTTTGGTTGAATTCCGGTAAGAATTTTCCATGACGGTGCGTCTGGCCCAAGAACACCCATATTAATGTATATAAACATTCTCGTGGTTTGTCGAAATGCTACATTGTATGATGCACAGGACCATTGTTTAATTTCTGAATTAAAAGTAATCTATCTATTCCCAAGCTAGAATATATAATAACATACATAGCTTTTGCTAGGTATTACAGTGCCTTTTGATGAGACAGTAAAGAAGAAAATAGATAAAATAGGTGAAATTCATAAAATGGAGAATTAGAAAGTAATGGAGTTGAACTCTGAGTGAAGCAGCATCCAAATTTGACCAATCTTGACATCTAATGTGAGATGGTGTGTTAATACCATCAAAAGCAGTCAATAACACTGTCAAAGATTCAACTTTTCCCCAAAATAAAGGAAAAACCCAGTCAACGTGAAACAAAATCGCAAAAATCAGAAATACTTTCTAGTGCCCCATTTGAAAGTAAGCTCGAGGAATTCAAAGAAAAAAATGCATAGAGAAGGAAGTCTTACACAATAAGAAAATAATATTACCCAACCTGAGACATCGCGTAAAGTTTGGTAAAAGAAGAAAGAAGATGGTGAGTGTGACGTGAAATGCCCAGAATGTTTTGAATTATATTCAAATTCAAATGAAGACTGAATTATGTGCTATAAGTGTAAAATGGTGACATGAATCTTGTACGACTAAAATTACTGTATAATTTGTTTGTTTTAGCATTCTAGCATTATGTGACTAAACGATTTGATATATGAAACTGATGGTTATATTATTTTCAGAATGATTTTCATGCTCTATATTTTTATGTTAGTCGTATGCACGTGGTACGATTTGACAATTCATAAGCCGAATGAAGGTGAGTAAAATCAATAATGATTATAATAATAATGATTATTCACAAACAGACAATGTTTAGAACAAGTATATCTTTACCCCACGATTTTCTTAAGTTTTGCTAGATATTAGAACCTCCTTTTTTGCCGAAAGTACGCTATGATAATTTTCAATTTGTTAGAATTTTTTTTATTTGTATGTATTTACCTATGTATGCTTGGTTGAGTGGAAGAATAGATAATATGCTAAACTCCGACAGGTAAAATGAAGGCCATTCATAATTTTTTTTTGTTTTTTTCCGAAGTGTGCGCTGATCAGGCCCTATTTCCCGAAGCCCCGATACATTCGGGAAGGCGCGCCAGCATTATCAACCAATGACCACTCACCACACCGTGGGGTAAGTGATCATTGTGTTCGAGAATCATGTGCCCTGAGTAAGCGCAGTGAGCCAAGAATGACAGCCTTCTGCATCTGTCCGGATAAGATTCCTGCTTTAGTGGGGCAAGCCGGTATGATTTTGAGAGTAGAGAGTGCATCTAACATAATTAGAACAACCATCTTGAGATAGTGGTCTAGATAGAGTCTGCGGAGTTCGAAGAGATAATCTCGATATTTTCACCGTTCTTCCTCCTCTTTTCGGACGATATTCGTATCGCCAGGAGTTGAAAACTCCACGAAAAATATCGTCTTGCTCTGGTGTTCGAGAAGGACTACATCAGGCTCATTAGCTTGTATGAGCCTGAGGATGGGGAACGAATAGTTTCAATAGATTCGGCACTTCTCGTTCCCCACAACGGATTCAATATCCCCCGGAGCGTAGGGCAACAGCAGTGTCTCGTCAATACCATAAGAGTGCCATGTGTGGTCATAAAGCACTCTCAGGGCCGCGTTATGGATATAAGCCGAGACCGTATATGCTGGACATGCTGACAGCAAGTGCATTACGGTCTCGGATGCCTTACGGCACGCCCTGCACCTTGTGTCAGAAGTTCTACACCCATCACGCGACTGCGGTTGACTGTGTTGAAGACACCATCTTGGCAAGTCATGATGGACCCCTCAGTCCACTCGACCTGAGGAAAGCGAAAGTCACGCGTTTTGATGAGCCAAGGTCTTCAATGTTATTGAAGGAGATGCCATGCATTGGCTTATCCTTGTGTGAAGTGATCTCTGAGGCTTTTTTATGAATCTTTTGCTGAACGGGTTCCAACTCCGTGATACAGTTGTGATCACCTCGTTCAGGGTCGAAAAATAAACCGAGTTCATCAGCTGCTCTGGCAGCTGCCCTAAAGAGAAATGCTTCAATTTTTGCTCTCTTTTGGTCGCGGGCCATGCAGAGAATGGGATCCGAACTCCTGACGAATTTACAGGCTCCAGTCAGTACCATTCTGTCATGTAGACACTCCAAACTTAGAAGTTCCCGGCGTCCCTGTTGTCGTGGGAAGTACAACCGTGGAACGGACGATTTAGGATGCAAACTCCTATGAAGATGCATCATTTTTCAGGTCTTTACGTCGAGTTGAAGTGAAGTTCGAGGTGTACTGAGTTGAACCTAAAAACGATGAGCAGCCACATTCCGTAGCGTATTCCTGATATGTACCGCTCTTAGTGGAATCAAATGTGCCAAATCACTCGAACACTTCCCGTGAAACTATAGAAGAGAGACAAATCTCCAACCTTCCTTCGATGTTCTAGACTATCGAGGTAGCAAGTGATGTTCGCGTCTCCAATCAGGCGGATGGCTTTCTTCTGGATGGAATCCAGCAGCTTCAGGGTATGCCTGGGGGCGGAGCTCCATACATGAGAACTATAATCCAATGATGGTCTGATCTGAGTTTTATGAAACATCAAAAGTTGCTGAGGTGTGTACAGTTTCCTGGTTAGGAACAGTGTTCCGAATTTTTGAGAAGCGGCTTTTGCAATTCCAGCGACATGATTGTGCCAAGACATATTGGTGTCCATTTTAACCCCCCACAAACTTATCGAAGCCGAAAGTGGAATTGTTTGACCTGACAGTATTATATTCGGTTCGAAGATATTTTGTTTGGAGAAAACCGATGACTGGGGTTTTGTGACATTGAATTGAACTTGGTTAGTTTCATCTCAATTCGAAATTACATTTAGATTCTCATTAAGATATGCAACCTCCTTCTGCCGATGTCTTGGAATCCAAATGGAATGAAGGAACAAGTGTGCTGTTGTCAGCAAAACAATATATTGAATTCTTGTTTTTTTCTAATAAGTCGATGATAATAATTTTTTATACATATGTTTATCTGCTCGAAAGTTTTCACTTTGGATTTCTGTTGAAAGTTTTGGTACATGGGATGTTTCTTCTCCGCTTGGGGCTTTGTTTACGAGATGGAGTTGTTACTACTTAACAATCTTTCTCTCAGACGAAGATTTCATATTATGTAGCGGAACCGTGTTGAAATTCATCGAGTCTCAGGCACTTTGCTGTCTGGGTAAAATCTTTCCTGCACTGATGAGAGGTAATACCTCGAAGCCGCGATCTGCAGGTGATCAACTTGAATAATTTTAGCATGGTTCTGCTGTTAGATGAACGATAAACGTCTGCTTAACTCTGTGAGGAAGTTTGCATAAATTGTGTGTTGGATATAATTCTATATTCAGTGTGACATTAGCCGGGGAATTAGTTGTTTTTTGACAAACATTTACCAGGTAGGTAGGTGTAGGTAGGTAGCTGGGAGAGATGAATGATGTTAAAAAATGATAGATTGAGTAAGACCGTTTTGGTTAGTTTCTATTGTATTTGTCGTTATTTGAAGTATCGATCTTCCTTAATTCCAATGAAAAAATGAAGACGATCAACAATTCCGAAAAAAGGCAAATGTAGTGAACATGATTTGTTTAGCCACGATGAAAGTTGAGATATTCAATTTTTGGAACGTTATGAAAGTATTCCCAATGAATCCCAACTTTCTTCAGTTTCATTTTGTGTCTTATTGGAATACGTTGAAGAATTCTGTTTCATTGGTTTCAGCTGAAAAATCGACCAGAGTTCTCATTTGTGATCAGCGCATCCTATGCCGTAGATACATTTTTATTCATGAGTGGATTACTCTTATGCTATGGAGTATTTAAGAATCAAGAGTTACTGAAAAAGAGAAAGCAATTTCCAGTTATATACATGTATATATACAGAATAATGAGGTACGTCGATAAGATTGAAACCACATTTCCCTTCACACGGAAAATTATTCCTAGACACTTTTTGAAGTTTACCAGTAAGTATATTTTTTCCGATTATACCAGGAAAATTTGCGAATGAAACATTTTATATTGATTACAATTTCGAACAATAAACAATTTTTATGTATTACGTTCTGAACATAAATCTATTACTTGAAATCAAATAATTTTTGCAGTGAGTTAATATGATATTGTTTTATTCTACTATTACTGAAGTTCAGACGTACTCTTAGTGAGCTGGAAAGTTATTGAAAAATAATAAATTCCAAAATAAACTATGAAGTTCTTTGCAATTGTAACGGGGCTTCAAATTATGTAAAAGAAGATTATTTATCATTCACTTTGACAATTCTATATTTACAAAAAGAGAAGCGAACACCAAATGTTGTTGACAAAATTACAAAAAAAAAAATTAGATTCGTCAAGGTGATAGTACATTGATAAACTATTTGTAAATGTAGACATTATATTTTATGGCATTTCTAATAACTTTGATAGGACCAGCTGCGTTAGATTTAGAATTTACAAATTCTAACGATTTTTCAACACGATTTGCGTCCTATTAATTTGTCATAATTCGAAAGTGACAAAATTTTTTTTTAATCTTTTGGGTGAATTGAATTCGTAGATTCATGAGTTCGAAGACGTTAGATTTACTGTGTCCCATTTCAATCTATACTTTTCTAATTACAAGTAAGCATGGATATCTCCCTCTACTAAATTAACATCTATGGAATCGACAGGACGATTATACTTCGCTGGGCCAAAATGAAAGAGGGTTACCACGCACGGGCAAAGTTTGAGTTTCATTGAGTTTTTTGTTCATCTTGAATGAGCAGGGTGTGAGTTTTCTTATAGACGGCGTCTTCATAGCTCATATTAGAATACTAGGTAGTGGAGCTTTACATTAAAGTCTACCTTAAGATCAAGCGACGTAAATTGTCACGTTTCTTATTGGAAAGTCAATGCCAGTAGATGACTAAATTTCATACACATTCACAATTGAACAAAAATCGATTATTTGATTAATGAGGAGGGCAAATGTCGTTACAATGTAGTGCTCTGACTATTCGACCATAATGGTAGAGAATTGTTGATTTAAATGAACCACTGTTTGGAGAGCTATGAGCAGAATGGGGAATGTGTCTCAATTTGGGTTATTACAGTTCAATACCACCTCCACAAGCCACATAAACAACAGTTATTTTGTTATTTATTTATATAGAGGAAAATAGCTTAGGTGCACAAAATGTCATATGTTACGGAATGTCTCGGAACTCGGAACATAAGTAAACAGAACAGCATGCCTCTGAAATATGTCATCTTTGTTTGTCTCATACAGGTAACAGATTCATTGTCCTTTATTAGCTATAACCGATGTTGCCAAATGGTGAAATAGACACGAATCCCTTTAAATGTTGAATGCATTATTTCATTCCTTTTTTTAAGTATTTAAATAATTTTTTAAAGAAAAAGGTTGAAATTATAAGTTTAAAATGCGTTGTTTTAGAGCTATTTTTTGAAAATTACATGAGAATCAGAAGGAACATTCCCCATTATGCTGATTATCCCCGATGTCCTGATTATCTTGATCAGAACAAAAAGTTTTGGAAAATAATTCTGGTTCACAAATGAATTCATAACCAGATTTTGTTTTTGATAATACTTCTGAGTGATACACAGAACAATTCGATTGTTGCTTTTTTACTAAGTAAGATCTTGGTTTTTCAATTACAACAGTATCGTAGTATTGTAGTACAAGGCTTTTGTATGGCAGTACACATTCTCATTATGATCTCTTAAAATTTTGTTTGCTAATACTGTTATTTTTCTGCCATGCCATTACTTTGTTGTCATTTTTCTTATTGTTATATTCAACAATTTGTTATGAAAGGATGATTAATTATCTACAATGGCTATCCAAAAAGAAAAATAGTCCTGAAAAGCATCATTAACAGATCTGAAGGTTTTGTCTTCAATTGAAATTATTTTTAACTAATATGCGAAATAGTACATAACAGCCAAGTATATAACTATAATTACCAAATTTTGAAATATGTCTACCAACATTGTTGAATCTCAGTTTTTGTGTAGAGGCAGGCAATATTGGCACTTTTTGGCACATTTTTTTCAAGCATGAAACACAAGCACCACAGAAAAATCTTCAAGGCGCTCTTAGAGCGGTGCCTGTGCGAAAGTAGCTATTTACATTAAACAAACCTTCATAAACTAATAATAAAACTTCGTAACAATTGGAAAATACGTGTTGGTAGTCGTAAATGATTCATAGATTGATGAACTTTCCAAAACGATGGGTTCGACGAAACCAAAATGTTTATTATCGATTTAATTTTCAGGGAGTAACAGTTTTCAACAGAAATACCAAACACCAAAAATATAATTGATATTATCGAAGTGAGGCATGTATATTGAAAATTCCCAGGTATTTTTTTCAAGCATAAAACACAAGCACCACAGAAAAATCTTCAAGGCGCTCTCAGAGCGGTGCCTGTGCGAAAGTAGCTATTCACATTGGATTTGAATCGCTGGAGATTAAATCTATTTGGAAAAACATTCTCAGAAAGTTTATTCCACATGAAAGAGTTCTTGAACATTGAAGTTCGGGGTATACTGAGTTGAACCTCAAACCGATGAGCAGCCACATTCCGCCGCTCTTGGTGGAATCAAATATTCCAACTCACTTGAACACCTTCCGTGAAAGTATCTGTAGAAGAGAGACAAATCTCCAACCTTTCTTCGATATTTCAGGCTATCAAAGTTGCTGAGGGGTGTATAGTTTTCTGGTTCGGAACAGTGTTTCAAGCTTTTAAGAAGTAGCCTTTGCAATTCCAGCGACATGATTGTGCCAAGACATATAACCCCCAACAAACTTATCTTGTGAAAATGTGCCTCCATACCCGATGTTCTGGAATCCAAATCGCAAATTAAACACTTTCTAACGAAGGGTTTTTTGTCTATTCCATCATGTCTAACTGTCAAGGAAACAATTATTCTATCCTGTTGTCTTAACATAAATTGACTCCTCCGAAACAAACATGGTATACCGTTAGGGGGTGATAATTGGCTTCTGGCCAACTATTAAAATAAGAGTCATGCATTTGTGATAGTTCATGTGAACGTTTCATTCATGAACTGATCTTAACATCACTTATAGGTAAGTGTTCAGTCCCAGAATGAACTATTTTTAGCATATCAGAATCTAGTTTGCTATCATCCTTAAAATTCGAGCGATGGAACATAGAGTGAACAATATTTGAATATTTGGAAGTTTTAATCTGAACCTCTGTAATTGAACTTATCCTAAACTCCGAAAGGTTTATTTCATAATCAAGACTAAATAGGTATAAGTCTATGATGAGGTGAAATATCTACAATTCATTTATAAATGCAATCATGGTATGTTAAGCACCAAAAAAGAGTCTTCCCCAGTTTTGTTTTAACTGACTTAATAATCGTTCATAGTGCGACATGCAAATGCCACTAGTTTTACGATGTTATTTTCATATTGAGAGAGCAGTTTTAGATGAAACACACTGGAAAATATTTTTACTTTCATAATCGAGAGGGACTATCTGGAGACTTACTTATAATAGTTTTCAGCTTATCAAATACCTCTTAATGTTTAGGCAATCATGAAACTTCCGCACGATATTCTGATACTTCATGTAACGGATGTATAAGTTCACACATGTTTTTGACAAAACGCCTGACGTAATGAAAATAACCTATAACTGAAGTTTAATTTTACTGGCGGGAGAATTTAATATTTTTAGACTTCTAACTTTATTTTTGTCAACCTGCTCACCAGACTGTAAAAATACTTCTCCCATGAATATCCTCACAAAATTGCACTTTATTTTTGTTGAATTTTGCATTCACTTATTTTGCATGTTTCACTTCACTTACTGCTATATCGTGTTCCACTCTGTTCACACCTGAGCAAATCATATCATCGTCAGAGATTATTACATTTTTGATGCATGAAAAGTGTTTCTCATTTTCCTCGTGGAAGACATCTTGTGAATTGGATGACCCGTAGGTTAAAACATCAAAGCATGAATACCAAATGATGTTGAAAACGCATTTCTGTGAAGACATTTGATTCTGAATGGTGTTATCCTTCAGCAGTATCAAATAGAGTGAATGTGTTTTCCCTACTGATTAAATGGAAATCAATTTCTCATACAGTGATCGATGCCGAAGATGTGGTAGATTATCGTTAGACTTTTGTTTATCTTGGAACGTTTGAGATTTCTATCGATCTTATTTTGTCTATGCTAACCAACCCTCTTGGTTGTTTAATAGGGACAGTTAGTCGTACAGAAAATTCATGGTTCAGCCTAGCAGCGATGATAAAATTCCGTATATTTTTATAAATAGTACATGCGGTCGACTGAGATAATAATTATAAACAGTCAAAAGAAAAATGTCGACGCTCAGATCTCTACGCTACTTTCATCGGGCGTATCTTCACAGCAAAAAGCATGCTCGCAATTTTTTTTGAACCATGGTTGATCTTTAGAAGGTCGTTTCATTGAAGGAGACATATATTTTTCCTTATATGATAGAATGAATGGGCTCAATGATATCAAAAGATTGAAAGTCGTTCTGATAAATATATTTGTAATAAGCAAAATTTGAAAATTTCTCACTTGAGAGAAAGGACAAATCATAATGCTAGCACATTTCATTCGAATCCACTTATTATTTACATCTAATAAATACTGTATCCAATATGTTCATCTACTTTAAATTTTTATTTTATCATCATTATTGAAATTAAAGATTTATTTTCATTTATTTTTTCTCTTTGTAGGTTATCTCCAGCTCTTATTGCAACAGTTTTCTTTTATACGAGTGTTTTCAAAAAACTCAGCGATGGACCAGGTTGGCCATTATATTCTAGGAAACTTTCGGGCAGTTGCGCCAAAAATTGGTGGGCTACATTATTATTTGTGTCTAATTATTTGGAAATAACTCAACAGGTGAAGACTTGCTTGATATTCCTAAATTGTGCAATATTGGGTTTATTTGCTTTTCAATATCAATACTGAATTGTATCAAATAATTTGTCAAAGATCATTTCGATTGAAATTCACTAAAAAATACAGTGAGTGACCTATCGTAATCAGAAGGAAATGACCATTTAGGAAAAAAAAATGGTAAAAACATAGGTTGGTTCTAAAAATTCTGAAAAAATCATACTGAATTCAATCAAACTCTATTCAATGAAAATGATATAATACTTTCTCTTATTTGGAATTGGCTTTTTCATATTCATAGTGAATAGGTAGAGCAATAGTAATGAAGTGAATAGCAATCAATTCACTGATTTTTATGAATTCTCAGGCAACATTTAAAAAAAAAATCAAACAAAATTAACGGTACCTCAAGAGAGGTAACCCCAAATATTCATTGTACCACTGACATCACGATATTTTGAAAGACTATACATCCAGTTTTTCATTTAAAAATTTGTTATTTGTTACCGATGATATGAATTATACATGACTTGATACATATCTTGATTTCATGCAATTCATGTGCAGCCACTTTTTCATTGTAGTGCATAGAACAATCCTGGTATATCGCACTAGAGTCCCAAGTATTTCTCGTCTCACCAATATTACTGATATACTTCCTGAAGACGCCCTGGAAAACTTCTTTGCTGTGTATTGGCATTTGTGTTTTATCTGGACTTTACGCGTTCGTGATTACAGTACAGAACGAATTGGGAGCTATATATCTTGAGTGAGTTATAGTTGAGTAATAGTTTTTGAAACTAATCCACAATACTATATTTTTCAACAAGAGGAAAATACCTTTTCATGTGTGTAGAATACTATACTCAGTATATGATTTTACTGAGTTAGTTAATAAAGAATAAACAACAATTAATCTTACTTGGTTAATTTTTAGGTGAATGTCAATTATGATTTTTAAAATTGAGAACATTCCTTAACTAATTCTTTGCGCATTTGAAATATAGAAAAAGCGATTATAAACAATTGAAAATTGTTGTTGAATTTTTTTTCCAAAAATCATGGCTTTTTCAATAATTCAATAATTATTTCCCAACGAGAATTAATGTCAGCAAAACAATATATTGAATTCTTGTTTTTTTCTAATAAGTCGATGATAATAATTTTTTATACATATGTTTATCNAGCCAGCGATGCAATTGAACCCACGTTCGTGTTTAATAAACCTTACAAAATACAAATAAAACAGAACACAGAATCAGATACTACAAATGCAATATACATATATACAGACAGCTCAAAGACTACAGAAGGCTCAGGATGTGGAGTTTACTTCAGATGACTAAACCTAAGGATTAAGTGGAGAATGGGAAAAAATACTAGCGTGGTTCGAACAGAACTGGCTGTTTTCTTAATCGTCATAAAAGAAATAACCAGAGAATGAATTTCTGACAAAAACACAACAATCGCACTGATAGTAGACAAGACCTATTAGCCTTGAACAAACATCTTGACACCTTGGGGCTAGTACTAGAGTGCCACCAAGATTTAGCCAAAGCCTCGGTAGATAATAACATTATCGTGAGGTGGGCATCGATGACAGTCACCGGTGAATGATCAAGATGAATAAAACTCTGAAGAAGCCAGCCACTCATGCTGACGAAACGTTAGGATGCAGTTCTAAACTAGAATGGCCTTCAAACTCGAAAGAAGATAGTAACACTGATGATTTGATTTGTTTAACGTGAGCTATGAATTAACAGAATATGTATGATTGTCAAATTTATTGTCGAATACGTAAATATTGATTCGATTCGTGTGAATTTATGAAGGAAGAACCATGAATTTGGAAGTTCATATGTTTTTGGTGTACGCGTGATGTTTGAGAAGTGCTACTGGATCTCTAGCTTCATACGGGGAATTGTACCCTGAGAGACGTTAGCCATTCAAAAGATATTTTCAACGCATTGAGAGGAGCTTAAGGAATCATGGTTCATTTGAAAAATCCCCGACTGAGAGTTGTACATCATACAGTAACCGAAAGGAGTGACGAGTGTGGAAATGGATTAATGGTGCCTCAGTCGAAAATCTAAAATCAAAAGTCTGCTTTACTTTGCCAAGCTTTTGCTTCTCACTGTGAAGCTTTGCCAGGGCCTATAATTTTCTTCAAACTAAATTACATTACGGAAATGAGTCAGTAAATTGACATATTTATGAATATTACCTATACACCAAAGAAATGACAATCAATTGTTTTCCATTTTCAAGACCTGAAACATTATTGGTGGCAAATGCCAATTGCTTTTGGCCAAAACGGAAATACATAAATTTAAAAATCAAATATCTATATAGCAAATGAAGTATGCTTGAATTAGAGGCAGAGAAAGTTTACAAAAAACTAGCATATGAGTTAATGAGGAAACGAAAATTCGAAGAGAATCTTCGTGGATCTCCAACTTTTTAAAAAGACATCAATCCAAAGATAATTGACCTTCCCCATGAACCCAGATACACGGATAAGGCCGTATTTTTGAGAAGTTGAATGTGTAAGTAGCCTTCAAAACTTCTGCTCACTTCGAGAAATATTAGGTAACCCTGAAGACAAAATGTTGGGAAATGGAAAGTCGGGGATGGATGGAATGAGCCATGAGGACTGCGAGAAAAAATATTTGGGTCAGACTAAGCGAGCAATTGAAACGAGTTTCAAAGAACACGCAATATGTATCCGATTTTAAAGACCAGAACAGCTCATTATTCACCTTTTCATGAATCACTCTGTTGAAATTATTGGGAACTGCCACGAGAAATTTCCTAAAAATTTCTACCTGAATTTTTATCGGAAAGTGAGAGTGTAGCATGCTTGATATAAATAGAGACTGTTAGAGAAATATGAATCAGTTTTCTCCATCCCTTGAAAGTGACAACTTGGTTGGTGAAACGCACGTTCGAAAGTGTTTTACAGTTCTGTTATTTGGGAAAATTGCTTGTTTTCGATTCATACTATGCCAAAAGTTCCAGTTTTACCTTTCATACCATTGTGTCAAATTAGTGGGCACTAATTTCTCAGAAATGATTGACGTTTTTGCCATAATCTGTCCCTTGCAGTAACGTACGGAAATAATATTGAACAGATGAGGAGAAATGATGATAAAATATATAGAATCACAACCTTGACAACAATGTTTTTTTTTCAACGCAATTATATTTCTGAGGGTGTAGTGCCTACTATTACATTTCTACTTAATCGTAATATCACACCATCATGTAGAAACAAACTGTAAAAGTCGCGGAAACTCTATGGTGACAGCTTTGATGCTACTAAACAGCAGCATCACTTTTGCGGAAGTGAACACTCTCACTCCTAAGCGTGCTTACTTTTATTTACACAGACCAATATTTCTTTCGAATCAGGAACGTATTGAAATGTAGTTCGAAGTGCTAATTATTTGAAGGATTCGCATTATCGAAGATAAGACACCGTTAGGATATGTGTTGTAATTCAAAGCGGGAATAATCGGGAATATCAAATGCTGAAAGGCATAATTTTAAAATACTTTCGAATTTAACAAATCAATTTATTTTTCAGTTCACGAATGTATTTTTATGGATTTCCACATTCACTGCATTTGTCAGTCTCATACTATTGCACCAAGTTTTCACAAGAAACGATGATTACGATCCTATTAGAGCTGGCCTATTCAACTCTTGCGCTAGGCAAGCATGGGCCCTTGTTACTGGAAGTATTGTGTTCCTCTGTTGCACAGGTCATGGAGGTAGGGTAAAATAAAAATTATAATCCAATATTTATTTATTGTTTTGGTATGATTTGCTTCCCATATTGAGAGTTAATAATGTTAGTCCGTGATTTTTAGAATGAGTCGGAATTCAACTTTGCTGAAAGATTGCTGAAAATAGTTCTATTCTGAGAAAAACCTATATCTGAATTTTTCGTCACTTTTTCAGGCAACTTTACGAAAAATTGATGAAAGTCAAGTAATAGTTGATTTTTTAGATGTTACCAATAAAACTGATTTTGAACCCAACAATATTTGAATAGGTATTCAAAGATAACTGTAAGAGTCAAATCAATTGAAAATACTTCTGCCACACCACAATAAAAGTTTTATGTTTTGACGTAAATTTCGAAACACAGGTCGATATACAGTATTTTCGATTTGATTTGGAGAAAGTTTCCAATGGATTTATTTTACGCCTGGCATCGCCCTGTGACATACCATTGCAATGGCGTAGGCAGCGTGAAGTTGCTTTAATGCTAACGATTCGTTGCTGTTTTCGATTTCAAGGGTGAGAATAGGCTCCTAGGGTGAACATTCTCCAGAAGTAAAATAGCTCTCCAATTGGATCTCCGAGTGGAAGCAGATTCGAAGGCATCATCCTGCCGAAGTTATTTGAAAACTACAATTTCTGCCGGACAAGAGGGTCTTTCTAACATCAGTCCACTGGGAAATAGCATGATAACTGCAGTTGCTGAGAGGCCCACTAGCGACTTCAAAATCGATTTTTACAACATCAGCGGACTCAAGTCAAATATAAACTCAGTGCACATCTGCAAACATTCATATTTCTGCACTCATAGAAACCAAAGTCAGTGCTTCAACAAACCGCGTCAATTTTCTATATCCCGACTATGATTTCCACTCCCGATTGAGAAGTAACTTTGGAATATGTCATTTTATTCGAAGCGATCTCTCCTGTCAACGAGGGGAAATGCTGGAACCTTAAAACTTTGATGTTATGTGGTTTGAAATAACATCGCAGAAGACCACTGAATTCATACGCTGCGTTTATCGACCACCAAGCGATATACAAGGCACTATTCTCTTTACTTGCAAATACCATTGACTTTCTGCAAATCAATCATCCCAGTGCTGAAATTTCTATGACTTCAATGTTCACAATATCGAATGCTCAAATTTTCAAATATCAAAGTCATGCAAGATCGCGAAGCTGAGGCTTTTGCAATAAGCAGCGGACCCACTCAAATTATAAATGAACCAACCAGGATTCCTGAGTGTTATCGAGAATATGCTAGTCTCCTAGATCTACACCTAATAATCAATCCAAAAATTTACACAGTTACCGTAGGGCCTCCGTTGGGATCTTCCGACCACAAACTCATTTCAGTGTTGAGTGAATTACCGATGAATGTTGGGGAAAAATCTAAGCCGCGCAAAGTTTGGAATTACAGATCTGCTGACTGGGAGTTCCACCACTAACACAACCAAATGGTTCAATTGCAACAATAGCAATAAAAAAAGCAAATCTACTAGCTGAACGAACTGCGTCCTACTACTCAATCGATTTTCTGGGAATGACATCACTCACTATTCCCATACTAGAATCCACAATGCCGGAAATTACTTTTCAACAACGTCTAGTCAGGTGAATTTTGAATCAGCTCATTATCAACAAGGCGTTTGGTCCTGATGAAGTGCCCGTCATCGTACTCAAAAAGTGCGTCAATGAACTCGCACCAGTATTTTGCAGACTTTCCAACCTGTCTTACAAGAGTCCTCTTCTAAGGGTTTTTTTCTTCTTGTTGGAATATTTCTTGCCTATTCCCAAATAACTATAGAACAGTTGCTTTGCTATCAGTGATATCAAAAATCATGGAGAAAGCCGTAAACCACCATATTTGAAGACTTTCACATTATGAATGATCATCAAATTGGCTTTGAGAAACAAAGATCAACAGGAGATCTTCTACCGTATGTCACCCATATTGGGAATAACGCATTCGAGAAACATGAGAATCAAGAGCTTTAAAAAATCCGTTCATCCCATAAACCAGCTGTCGCCCGCCCACGAACGACAACCCTCAGAAGTCGAAACTTGTGCGAGCTAAGGACTAACGAGGTCTTACCTTTCAACGTGGTATTCCTAACACGGGTTGGACGATAGTAGGTGAAAATCGATCGTTCAGCCCGGGGCTTGAACCACCGACCAACACGGCGGTCGATTTGAGTGAGTGAACAAAGCACCAACGTCGAATCGACCGGCTACCGACCTGTTGCACTTGACATTTCTAAGGCCTTTGACCGTGTGGGGCATGAGGGTTTGCTGGACAAACTTTGATGTTATGGCTTGTCGGATCATTTTTGTGTATGGCTCCCCAGCTTTCTGAAAAAACGTTCCCTGTAAGTGGTCTTCAGTAAAGACACGCCTGAAGAAGCCATTCTATGGCGAAACACGTGTTGCGTTTTTGTAAAATTGTTGAGTAAAAATCTCACAATGAAGTGTTTTTTGGATATTTTAACTATATTTTTTCTTTCGTCTACAAACTTCACCTAGATTTTTTTAAAAAATATTCCATTTCCTCGTTGATGAACGGTTCCATTTCATTAATGACTTGTTTCTTTCATGATCGTTCCCTCAGGGAAGGTGTGATTGAAAATTTTTATTTTTGTATATCGGGCATTTTGCTCGACTTCCTTAACTCAATTTGATTTTGAGTTTGAAAGGTTTATTATTTTTCAGGATCTGTCTCTTTTTTTCCCGATTTCATTTTCTTTCCAGATGACATTATCACATTGGTTCGTTGAATTTTTCGAACAGCCACATCAACATCAATACAGATAATGAAAGTGTGACTTATCGGTCTCTGTACATATGAGATATTTGAGAGAAACTATAATTGGGGATTTTCATAAACGCAATAGAATCTAAAACGATACTTTTTAGGATTTCCGTTTCGTTGTTTGTTCGCGCTGATTTTCAGAACGGCTCAATTGATTGGGCGCGGTTTTCACTGATGTAGTTGAAAACTTTATGAAAATAATGACACTATCTTTGATCGGAATTCAACACTTTTCACAATATTGGCTTCATTCAAACCGTATTTCACTACACAGTAGCTTCAGTTGATTCGAATTGAGGTGATATTCTTGGTATAAAATACTTTGAAAATTTGGTAACAAAAATACAGATTCCTATTTCAAATTTCAAGGTTGACAGCGGCACAAGTAGACATTTTTTACAGGTTGTTATACACATTCTATAAAACGTTCTACGAACACATTCTGATAGCAATTTGAGAGATAAACCTTGATTTTTATGACTTATTCAGTTCAAATGTAGCTACTGATGAGGAAAGTTCATAATGTGAAATTTGTTTAAATATCATGATAGATGTTTGTTTGAAGTTCATTGACAATATTTCATGATGAATTTCATTAGCTTGGACTTCTATTGCCTGATAATATATAAAATGATTTGAAATCCCTGAGAGAACTGATAAAAAAGAAGAATTAAAAAAATAGCAACCATGGGAATACTGAACAAGAGGCCTTCCTGAAACACATCAACAGCGAAAGACCTTCCATCACTTTCTCAATGGAGCAGGAAGTCTACAACGAATTGCCATTCTCAGACGTATTGGTAGGACCGACACTATGTGGGAAACATCTGTATATCGAAAACCCACTCATACGGGACAGTATCTGAACCACGAATCCAACCACCATCAATCGACTTAAAGAGAAATCATCAAGACTCTAGTAGACCGTGCTATCGGGCTTTGAAAGAACTAAGCATCATCAAAAATGACCTTCAACCTTCAAAGATAGGCATGTACATGAAAAAAATGTTTCTCTTTGAAAATCTAGGAAATCCCAGAGTCCACGCAAACGAAATCGGTAGAAACAGCTAGTTTGGACAACCATTTTGAGATGGGTGTATCAGAAAGAGGCACTTCATAAACTTCAATGGGTTCGGTCTGGATTTTCATAGTAACGAAATCTTTGTGTTCAATATCCATTTCTTATGTCAGTATATTTCAGTAATCCAAACATCTGGAATCACGGCAGTGGTTTCGAAACGAGATCTAGTTCAAATCACTGTTGAAGAAGCGAAACATGTGATATATTTCTCAAATGAAGTTTGTGGAGATCAAATCGTAAGGTGTAGTTTATGAAAAAGATCTAGTTCCTATGTCTTGCATTGGCATTACACATGACGAGCTGTCATGTTCTGTTCAAAAAATTGAGTGAATGTTCAAATTTCGCAGGCTACGTATATTCGAATAACAATTTTTTGTTGTTGAGAGGCACAAAAAGAGGCTGTCGAAAATGATGATGATGTCTAAAAATTTCCATTAATTTTGTGGGTTAGAAAAATGTTCACAAGTGGTACAAGCTTTCAACAGAAATCGAGAAGATGTGAATAACGACGCCCTCTACGCTCCAGCACATCAACAACCGATGGAGATGTTGAGAAAGGAAAGAAAATTGTTATGAAGAATCGGCGAATCACTATTAGAGAAGTTGCTGAGGATGTCGGCATATCGGCTGGCTCATGCAATGCAATTTTTCGTAAATTTTGGGCATGAAGCGTGTGGCAGCAAAGTTTGTTCCGAAATTGCTGAATTTTGTCAAAAAAACCGTCGCATGAGCATCACTAAGGAAATGTTGAACGTCAACGGCGATTCTTGTTTTGTCTGAAAAGGACATAATTGGTGACGAATCATGGGTTTCTGGTTATGAAATCGAAACCAAAATCCAATCGTCCCCATAAAAGAGCCAAGGAGAGCCAAGACTAAAAAATCACGCCAAGTTTCATCAGATGTCAAAGTTTTGCCTACTTTTTTGCAATACCGTGGCACAGTGCATTAGGAGTTTTTGCCACATGGTCATACGGTCAATAAGCAGTATTGTCTTGAAGTTATGCGCCGCTTGCGAGAAGCAATACGTAGAACACTTCCGGTATTGTAGAAAAACAATTCATGGCCTCTGCATCACAATAATACACCTGCTCACTCGTCAGTGCTTGTTCGTAATTTTTTGGTCAAACACAACAACAACATGCCTCAGCCCCTCCTGACTTTTTTCTGTTCCCAAGATTGAAGACACCCATGAAAAAACTGTGTTTTGCGACGATTGAGGATATAAAAACCGACTCGCTGAGAGGGTTCAAGAACATACCAAAAAGTGCATATCAGAACTGCTTCGAGAATTAGAAAACACGCTGACACAAGTGTATTATATCTAAGGGGAATTACTTTGAAGGGAACAAAATATAAATGGATGGGTGAATTAACATTTTATGTGAAAAATGAAAATTCATCTAATTTTTTGAACAGACCTCGTATAACTACAGTTTTATTTTGTTCAGGTGTCCAAAAAACGGTACCCAGTTAGTCTCTTTAGAAACCAGTTTTTGGTTTTTTTCTCATGCGGTCCCTCGTGTTCGTGTGTGTTTACAGGTTTGCAATAGTAGTAATGATTAACCTGATACAATTTATGGCAAGGGGTGATTATGATTTCGAAACACTAATGGTGGGATAGTAGAGATGTTTAGAAACCAAAGCTATCAATTTCTGTGAAAATGTGGTATCCATAGTCGCTCAACTCAAAAATGATTTTATGTATCTATCACTAAACTTATAAAGTAACTTTAGAAGCAAATGTAGATTTGCCATACAGGTTGAAATAAATACCTGACCGAGAACAAATTTGGAAGCTCAAAATATTTTATAAATATTTAATAACTTCTATTAAAGTATTCTGTTATTTTTCAGGCAAGCTAAATGAGTGGTTGTCGCTTCCCATATTCCAAGTCTTGGTCAAACTATCATATAGTGTGTACCTGACCCAAATGATTGTCATAGTTTACTTCATTGGATCTAAACAGCATTCAGACTATTTCAGCTACATGAAACTGGTGTGTATTCCTTATTTCGAAACATTAGGAACATCGAAAATGTACTCCAAGGCAGACCTACCGGAGAATGAACTTTTCGCAAAAATTCAAACACATATCAAGTTCATAAGGGGGACAAGTTTCGACTTATGAAATGCAGCGGGAATATCTTCCCTCGAGTTTTCTTAATGGGAATGGGAGAAAGAGCTCTTGATTTCCTATCCACTGCTGGATAAGGAATCGTCAAACCCGATAAGACTAAAAAAACAACTGAATTTGTTGATCAAACTCACTTACCGAAGTGATATGAAATTGTTAATATAGAATCTTTTTTTTTTAAAGATGTCGTATACATGACTATCTTCATAACTCGGAGATTTCATGGTTGAAAACTGATATTTTTGTACAATTGTATTTTCACGCCCTATGTGTTTTGAACTAGTTTGATGACAAGAAAACTTTCATCGTTCATGTTTTGTTTGCATTTCAGTTTTAGTTGACTTCATAAATCATTTTGATTCTGAACTCTACCGTGTGATGTTTCTATTATTAAGAGGTACTCTATATCCAATGTTTTATATGCATATCCACCATTTCTACACAATCGGTTCAGAAACAGAAAATTTGTATCATGTTTAAGAATCACATCAAACATTTGTTTGTGAAATTTTCACCATAAAATAAGCATTTGTCATGAATGATAAAATAGTTATTCGAATGAGACACAGCCTTACAGACTATGCAGTTCACCAACCCCGTTTAGGAAAAAAATAAACAGCATGAATTTACATTCTGTTGAATTTTTCAATTGATTTAGAGCTCATAGTATATTGATCCTCATCAATAGGTTGGACTTGTTTTCTCAATTTTTCATCTTATAGAAAATCGAATCTACTTACGATTTGAATAAATTGAAAATTTAAGGAGGAATGAAAATTCACTGTCTCAAAACTCAAAATTTTTATTTAACTTTTTTGAGAATTTTCCTCTTCAACAACATGAACAGACACATTATAATGGAGAATGTGATGCAGTTGTAGAAAGGCAAAATTCAATAAATAATAAATTAAATAAAACTCATCGGTCTATTAACTCATCGTATTCATTAATTTTGTCCGTTTAAAAAGAGTCAAGAATTTCATATGTTGTCAACGTTTCAAAAAGTTCAAATCTGTTTTCGTTCAGAATGTGTTGGTTGGCTTCTTAAATATTAGGTTCAGTATGTTGTCTGATATCCGTTTGTTTCTATCCTAGCACTTTACATGCCTTGTGATCATCATCTTCCTCCATCAACATATTTTCAATACATTTGTGGATTGTTCTCGTGAGTTTCAACATAAAAATCTTCAAACTCTACAAAAGTTCCATATATATATATATTCTTTTGAACATGGGTATAATGAAATGAGATGAGAATAATTGCATACGTACTACTCAAGAGTCGCAAACTTGAGAAAAGCAATACTTATAAATAAATTGATTAATGTAACCGTTACTACGTGGTAGAAGATCATCATGAAAAATGAGAAACAAAACTTTCTGTTTTTTACAAATTTTTACATGTATAATTGCTATTAATTTCTGACTTACAAATATACATTTCGTGGAGACGACATTGTTTTGATTCTGATTCCGAATAATTTTATGATGAAGACGTTTTTCAAATTCTGAAGAAAACAGATTTCAGTCTCCGAAACATCGAGAAAAATACATAGAAAATCCTTATTTCTCTTTTTTTTCTTTCATTATTGAACGAAAATTTTTTTGTAGATGAACCACAGTTTTCAGTCGATCATTTTGGGAATTTTCACTTTCTATAATCTGTAAAAAATTAAAATTGTGATGACTTTATACAGATGTAGGAAGGGACTACTTTTCAGTTCACCTCGATAAGTTACTATGTGAAGTCAAAATATGTTCCACAAAGAACAATATTTTACCAGCAACTATCAGCAACTTGAATTCAATAATTTTGCCTAATAGAAAAAGAGCTGAATATTATACAGTTTCGTAGGGTAGGATCTGCCGAAAATATAAAGAAGTTTGAGAAATAACGCGAACTGAAAAAAAACAATAACTACATTAGATTTTTTTCTATTCAGAAGGCGGATGTGTGAGAATATATTATACATTTCGTCAGCCAAAAGCTATTTCGAAGGCAATCACTGATTATATTTTCGTAAATTTGTTTGTTTTAGTTCCACGACTATATGGGTGATCTGTTTTTCATATTTGTATTAGCTACAATTTGGTGTTTAGCTTTTGAATCTCCATATGTCGCTCTAGGAAAAGCTATTTTCAATAAGGGTGAGTAGATACATTTAGATTCATACATCTAACAGGCAAACATTTCAAAGGGACAAAACTATTTTTATAAATTTGTCTAATAAAAGGTAAAACAACTGGTTATATGTATGTATTATAGAAATTAACACACATAAATATATTTTGTAACTTTATATGAGTTGATCGAAAACTCTAAATTATTATCGTTGAGTTAAGGAAATTAGTAAACTGGTGTCTTCTGCTCGACGTATATGAGCATACTTACAGGCTTAAAAGTGGAATCGTCTTATGAATAATTTAGAAATCAGGGAATCCATCTTACTTCGGACAAATTTTGTATTTCAAAGAAAAAGGGTTTTCAGTTTGAAATACATCTAAAAAATCATGATGTCAGAAACCTTTTTCTGGCGTCCCAGTTATGATAAAATCACAAAATGCCACTCGATCACATAATTCCATTTTTCCAGATGTTAGATATACTATGAAAAATACACATGAACTGTGCTTTTGCGTACATTGAATCGAAAATGTATAATGGTTTCTAGTAGGTACACTATTCCCGCATTTTCAAGTATTATTACAAAGTGGGTGCAGCGCGAGCTCACTGTTAACCAAAAACACAAATGTCTTGATGACTCTGAGCAGTGTTTGGTCAGGTTTGAACATAACAAACTGGAATTTCTCCGTCGATATGAGATAAAACATGGATTCATCATTTCACTCCGGAATAAAAACGATCGTCATATGAGTCCAAAGAGAGCAACTGGTGCATCTCGTACAAAATGCCCGAAAGCACAACAATCGGCTGGAAAGGTTATAGCTTCGGTATTTTGGAATATGCGTGGTGAAATATTCATCGACTATCGTGAGAATCATCAATAGTGAATATTATGTAGCGTAATTGGAGCTTTCGATGCCGAAATTGCGAAAAAACGACCCCATTTGAAAAAACAGAAAGTTCTGCTTCATCAAGACGAAGCACAGTGTCACAAATCAATGAAAACGATGGCAAAATTGCATGAAATGGGCTTCGAATTGCTCCCGCATATACCATATTCGCCAGATTTGTCTCCAAGCGACTACTGGCTGTTAGCAGACCTCAAAAATTCTTACTGGTGAGGCATTTCGCTCCTCGAATGAAGAGGTTATTGCTGAAATTGAGGCCTATTTGAGGTAAAAATTAATAGTTCTACAAAAATGGTATTGAGATGTTAGAGCGGCGCTGGAATAATTGTGTGGCTCTTGATTAGAATTGCGTTGATGAACAAAGCCAATTTTGAATAAAAATAACGCGTTTTCTTCCTTAGGCCCGTGGTCATGTCTCGTGAAATGCAAGGATTATGGTGTTTTCACCCAAACTTGAGCATGTCATATGCACCTCTCTGGAAGATACTTATCATTCTGACTCCCACACCGGAGTATGTTTGTGGAGTTATTTTCGGACTTTGTCTGCAGGTGGCGCAGTGGTACATTCTTCTGAATCAACTGTAGATAGACTTTATGACTATTTGAATCAATTTTGTTTGTTCGGGATACTTAGATGGTTCACCCCATCTGAAATGACCTTCCCGGTACTGACGAGGAGCAAGTACTATCAGTGATCGTCCCGACCAAATTTATATATTTATTTATGTTCATATATAGGAAGCTACTTGCGAGGAATCTTGCAAATTGAAGACGTTGCACAGGTACCTGATGGTTTCACTTCACCTTTCTGCGCGGAATTAGCTGGATTAGTTGTTGTTTGTTCGCCTGGTAGTCGTGGGTTCACATGATGAGCGAGGGTTATGGTGTAATATGGTTGCAATCAAGTTTTGAGGGCTATTCAAAGAAAACTCTTTGTTAGCTTGAAGATTCTTACAGGCAAAGTATGATGAGCGTTTCTACATACTACGATTTAGTGAATAGATGCCGGAAGCTGATTGATACCATGCAGGTGATGGATTATATTCGAAAGATATTTGTGCAACTTTCCTCACAGAGAAAATCCATACGGACTTTCTCGGACTGAAGCTGGAGCTGAGCAGTTCCATCCACAATGAAATAGAAATAGAAAATTTTAGCTCAAAATAAATCTAATGGAACTACTTTTCTCTCACCAGAAGTAAAGAACTATGTCTCGACATACGTGACTGGACTGGAGGTGACTGAAAACTGTATCATTTTTATACACATTAAGAAGTAAAAGTTCCATATCGTAAATGAAGCTACGAAAGGAAACCAATCATTCCTTGTCTGTAGGTCATAATTTCAGCGACGCCGCTGGACGAAAGAGAATCTGCATATTTGTGAGGGAACATGCATGGAGGATATAATTTATAGGCTAGTCGTGGTATAAGTCATGGAAGTAGTGGTTTTCCGGGTAAGAGTTGAACATTCTGTGTTTCCCTACGAAATATTCGTTTACATTGCATATGTATTTCTCCTAGGCACAGGCATCAGATTAATTTGATTTGATATGAAAAATCGACATTTTTCATTTCGACACACCTTTTGCTTCCAACGTTTTATGAAGCGGTGACGAAAATATATTTCTGTAGTAGTCGTTGGACCAGAAAATATAGAGACGAAATCAAAATAGAAATATTTATCAAAAGAATCTGAGCTGAAACATTTTAAAAGCGGAATATTTTTCCGTAACCTTGTTTATTTTTCTCATCTAGCACTCTCACTGAGATTAGGCTACGAATAGTTGAAAATTCCCGAATAACAAAAGAATGAATTTATATTATTTGTTTTTACACTTGTTTTTCTACCTTTTTTCAGCCCTCAAAGAAGCAGCAGGAAATCAATTGAAAGTGGGTACCAAGAAAAAGAGGAAGAATAAGAAAGGATATGTGGTTTGTGTTTATAAATATGACGAAGATGATAATACGACTAAAAAAATGATCTGAAAAATTGTTATGCAAATTTTTTAAAAAAATTATTATTTCAATTGTATTCAATATGTTTTGGTTTATTGTGGAAATTTGGAGCTTGAGTAACACATATGATGAAAATTATTTGAAGTTTCAATTTAGTCATTTATTCATTCATCTTTGAATTATTCATATATCTAAATATTCAAAAAGGAAAAAATTAATATCATGATGAAAATTTAACTTTCGGTCCTCTTTTGGAAAATATTGGTTTCTGATGGTGTTTATATCCCTTCTAAAGTGGCTTTACTTTCGAAATTGTCAACCCGACAAAGTAGCAAGACACATCAGAAATAATGTCACGACTCGATGTAAGGGTATGTTGAAAAGTAAGAGTGCCCGTACACGAGCCAAATTTTGCGATCGGATCGACCACACAATTGCAGTCGCGTTCCAGCGAACTCAAGCCGCCCATAAGTCCGGCCGTACACGGACCACATATTTGCAATTGAGGCAACCACAACATTGTGGCCACGTTGACTGCACTTTGCGTTTGACCCAACCACATTTTTGTGGTCGACTTGCGTTCATATAAACCACACTTGCAGTTGAGGAAACTGACATAAAACATTGAATGCTGTGAGACCAATATGAGAAAAAGTACACGACGATGTACGCGGTTGGGTACGACAGCAAGTTTGTGGTTAGTGTACGGTGGATGCCGCGATGACATCTCGGCGGAGATCAGCAGCAGGTTGACTGCAGATGCTCGTTTTGACTTTTGTGAACGCCCGTGTACGTGTAGTACAGTATTTCTTATGGGCGGCTTGAGTTCGCTGGAACGCGACCGCAACTGTGTGGTCGATCCGACCGAAAAATGTGGCTCCTGTACGGGCGCACTAAGAAATACTGTACTACACGTACACGGGCGTTCACAAAAGTCCAAACGGGCGTCGGCATTTAACTTGCTGCTGATCTCCGCCGAGATGTCATCGCGGCATCCGCCGTACACTAACCACAAACTTGCAGTCGTACTCTACCGCGTACATATTCGTCTCACAGCATTCAATTTTTGATGTCAGTTGCCTCAACTGCAAGTGCGGTTTATATGACCGCAAGTCGACCACAAAAATGTGGTTGGGTCAACTGCGAAGTGCAGTCAACGTGGCCACAATGTTGTGGTTGCCTCAACTGCAAATTTGTGGTCCGTGTACGGCCAGACTAAGCCTCACATTTTTGTCATCGATTTTTATTGTAACCGATTGTTTGTGCACTGTGTACTATCTGCTGTAAAAGAGAATGTACAAATGATTGTGGTACTTGGGATCCGAGATTTAGAATATATGTTTTGAAATAGTACTACAGAATAATGTACACTTCAATTATCTATGTTATTTTGACTATGAGTATTTTGGCTTATACAATTCAAAATTAATTAAAAGAAAACGTCTTCATAAGATTCATTCTGAACCAGATTTGCAGTATCAATTATCAAGTTGTTTAGGATGGTTTATTCAACTACAAAACAAATATCAATTTTTGGAGTACTATCAAAAATGAACAAGATAATCACAGGAGCCATAGAAATCTATATCTTGTTTGTGATAAGAGTATATTGTGAAATAAGTGTATAAATACTCAATATATATTTGAAAATAATGAATTATCAATCAATCAATAACCTTAATAACAGAAACAGTAGCTACAGACAATTGCTTAGGTTGAATTGCTGTTTAGAATAATTTGATAAATTATGTCAGGAAAAATGACTCTTGAATGACTCTTGAATGAATTTTTTTTCTTCTCTTTCAAACATCTAAGAACTGTTGATTTTTTTTCTGGTAATATTTGGTATAAGCGTGGTCCGAGATATGCTGCGTTACTTTGTCCTATGGTTTTGCCACATCGTGGTGCATTTAAAGAGTTTCCCTTTTTCCTAGTATAGAAAGAGTAAATGACTGGTTCGATTTCGATGTTTCTTTTTTTTTACATTACTGAGTAACTCATACAAAAAAATTTGTCGAATATCACATTCACTCGCATCTTTGAATAAGGCCTCAGTTGGATGCGATTTTTTTTATCAAATATGATCATCAGTATTCTTTTCTGTATGACATTCAGATTTCTAAGATAACAATCATTCATTTCTTATCAACCTATTTTACCACAGGATAGTTGGGATTGTACAAGAGCGAAGTATAACGTTTTCAAATGCTGAATGTCAGGAAAGTTTTTTAGGTTATTGAATTAAGAAAGTTTACCTATTATTTTTCTGTTTTTCATCAGTTCGGACTTCCATTGTCTAATATAATATAAATTGATTTGAAACCCCTGAAAGAATATGTAAAAATATTGAAAAGAATAACCGAAAAATAACAATTTTAATAAACAAAAAAACTGAGATTACAAAAAAATAACATACAAGCAACAACCAAAAAATAAAACATTGAAATATTTATACAAACTGAAAATAAAAAAATTAAAAAATATTATTAACAAGAAATGAAAATTGAAAATTAAAAGATTCCACACCAAGTTACGTCACGACGTTTCGATTGTTAGTATCCACAATTGCCTTCGGGTGATAACTTCGGGTTATCACAAATGAAATACACCACGAAACATTGTCAACCACCTTCAAAGAAATCTTAACTTTCTGATTATTTCTTTCATCTGTAGGTGTTATCGAGAATGCCTATCTGAATAGATACCTAGATATTTTATTGACGCCTTCAGGTATGTTTTTATTGATTCCTATATTTATGTTTCTTATATTGGGAAATATAAATATAGAAATATAGCAATATGATGTGAAAAGTAAATATTCGGTTTTTTCGAAACTGTTCGTGATAGTGACAAAACCATTTTTCAATCTCAATGAAATCTTTTTCTGCAGACGTTTTTAGTTGGCCGTATCGTCAACAAAGCTCAAAATTTTACTTTTGTTGGTATCTGTAGCAGCTCATTCAAATATATTGTAAAGAGGATTGGTCCTAGAACCGTTCCTTGCGGAATACCACGAGTAACAATTTTGAGATAACTTATGATTCTATCGGTACTGTCTCTCTGTTCTCGGCCACATAAATAGGTTCCGAAAATGCCGAAAGCTTTCCCTCGTAATCCATAATTCTCTAATTTTCTCAGGAGTTTTGTATGACTGACGGAATCAAAAGCTTTGAAAAGATCAATGGAGATGCACATCGCTGGATTTTTTTGTCAAGAACCTCATAAATGAAAGTTGTTTTGTATTGCATCTTCTGTTGAAATTTCCTTCCTGAATCCGTGTTTCTGATTAGATATTAATTTGAATTCCTAAGTATAATTCACTAATCTTGTTTTTAGAATTTTATCTATTACTTTGGCTATGTTTGAGATTTGAGATACAGGTCTATAGTTACTCACTATTTTACAAATGAGGGTGCTGCTAGCAGCTTCATCGGACCAGAATCTGTCATTGGCATCGGTTTAGGCTTTGCCAAACAAACAATGAACATCTGGATGGCAAGAAGATTTATGGACTTCTGGCAGAATCTTTCAGGTTTGGCTGACTCCAACCCTTCGAAAGTTGACACCAAATAGTTGTTGGACTACAGTAGGGATGAACTACTATGTCCAACAGGACTTCTCACAGGTCACTGTCATTTGTCATTTGTTTGAAAAATGATGAAACAGAAGAGCACACACCGCTGGGGATAGAATCAGGTTATCAGAATTTTGCGGAGCCGTACTCTTACCATTTGACCTGAAAGACCACTCACCATACAAACTAATCGACTTCGTTAAGAAGCTGGGTTTATTTGATCGAGTGCTTTGTTTTGTTTCCACCTGAAAAGTGGTTTTATTATTTATGACCAAGATTCGCATAGTACTCATTGAAATTGTTGCAAATTTCGAAAGTGTTTTTTATCACTGCGCCATTCTCTTATTGAATTGAATAATCGGTATTTTTGTTTCAGGTCTAGATTTTCATAGTTCTTTTGAATTTTTACTGTTATTCATTATTTTCTGAGCATATTTTTTCTTGACAGCTTACTCTGTGTGTTTATTCATTTGTCAAATTTAGTAATTAAAGTTTGACCCCCTTTCTGTTAACGTATTGATCCGAAATTTGGTACATACATTAAGTTTTGATAACAATACAATTTAATCAATTCTGTACCACTGTAAATCCAAAATGGACGCAGCTACAAAATGGCGGATTATATATTTTTTCACAACTACCTTAATATCAAATGACAAGGCTTCACTAGTGGAATAGTAGTACATTTTGGAAAAGACGCAAATTCAAGATGGTCGCAGCTACAAAATGACGAAACATATTACATGATACTGAGGCACTAAATCAACTGAACAGAATAAGAAGAATTGTGTAACAAAATTAGGAACTGGAAATTTGAAAATGAAATAAGTGACCCCCTTTCTGTTAACATATTGATCCGAAATTTGGTACATACATTAAGTTTTGATAACGATACAATTTAATGAATTCTGTACCACTGTAAATCCAAAATGGCCGCAGCTACAAAATGGTGGACTCAGGTCATTCTTGCCCCCAAAAAATGAGTTGCAGTCCTCGTGAAACTGGTACCCTTTCAGTGGAAGAGCTTCTTGAAGCAAAAGCCAAATCGATCCCTCTACGAAACCCTTCTTCACTTGGAAGAATCGATCGCAGCTTGAGAAATGGTTCTTATGGAGATTCTGTGAAACATTGGATTGGATAATTTAGGAAACACTTGCTACATGAATAGCATTTTACAAGTGTTGTCCATGACGAAGAATTTCAAGAACGAAGTTTCAATGATGAACGAGAACGGGAATGTTTCCTACTTATTCATCAAACTCAAACAACTGTTCATGCAGCTGCAGTTTCGTAAGAAGGTATCATCTTTCTCTTCAACCGATTTCCTGGAGTATTTGAAGTATTCAGTATCATCTGAAAATGGAATTTTTAACAGGTGATGATCGACTGTATTGTCAAACATGCGCCAAACTAACTGACTGTTATAAGGAAACAAGTATAGCTGAGGCTCCAGTCAATCTAATAATAACACTAATGATTTTCAAACAAGACTCAACCTCTAACGGAAGCAAGAAACTCTTTGGAAGGTTCGAAATA